CGCATCGGGTTTTGTAAACTGTATGGTTAGGGGAAGGGGTCATGGCCCGGCCACCTCCTCCTATCTGCTCCCCCGGGACTCCTGCCCCATCCAACCCCCTGTTCCCTGACAGCCCCTCTGGGACCCCTGCCCCATCCACACACCCCTGCTCCCGGTCCCCTGACCGCCCCCGGGCCCCCGCCGCCCCATCCACCCCCTCCTCTCATTCCTGACGGCCACCCCCAGGACCCCTGCCCCCATTCAACCCCCTGTTCCCACCCCAACCCCTATCCACACCCCCGCCCCCTGACCACCACCCCAAACTCCCTTGCCATCTATCCAACCCCCGCTGCTCCCTTACCGCGCTGCCTGGAGCACCGGTGGCTGGCAGCGCTACAGCCGTGCCGCCCGGCTGGACCCAGGCCACGCCCCCGCCACCGCCTCCAGCACGCAGCTCAGAGACCGGGTCAGGCCGGGCTCTGCAGCTGCGCTGCCCCAGGAGCTCACAGCCACGCCGCCCAGAGCCTTGCGCCGGAGGCAGAGTGAGTGAGCTGAGGCTGCGGGGGAGGGGGAACAGCAGGGGAGAGGCCGGGGGCGAGCCTCCCGGGCCAGAAGCTTGGGGGCCGGGCAGGACAGTCCCGTGGGTCAGATGTGGCCCACGGGCTGTAGTTTGCCCACCTCTGTTCTAAAGGATGGAGTGTTGCTGGTGTCATGATGGATCCCTATAAGGCTCCCATACAGCTGTGACCTGAGGACCCCTGCACTGCGGAAGGCAGCACAACTGGCCATTAAAGGTGGGACATTGTGACTAGATGAGGGGTTATCCGGTGAAATGCAGGACCTTTGCAGCCACGTCTTCAAAAGTTGCCACTTATTTTGTGTGCTTACACAGAGAAACTTTGGGCTGGATTTCCAGAGATGCTGAGAACCCACAACTCCAGTTCTTGTCACTGGGAGAGGTTGGATTTCGACACGGTGGGGAAATCGGCCACAGAGCGCTGCATGTGGGTGCCCCAAAAATGAGGAACCCAAAACTAGTGGCCATTTTTGAAAAATGATGGAATTAGTGACCAGTGGAGAAGCCAACTGCCCTTCTCTACCTCCTAATGGAGCATCAGCTGCCTCAGGGGTTTTCCCAGAACCTTCCCATCCATGGGCAGACAGAGCCAGCCCTGCTTAGCTTCCGAGACTGAACACGCTCAGAGGCTGCAGTGGTACCACTGCAAGTTCTCTAACCCATTTAACGTATTGATTCAACTGTACCACGGATGGAGAAGGAGTAAACAGCGGCGCTGCTGAGGGAGGTGTTCCGCAGGCCTTTGCTGTAGGCGTAGAACACGTTGGAAAGCACAGGAACCCCACTTCTATTCTGCGGTGCGCTTGGGTTTGAAAAGTTGAAGGAAGGCTCTGCCTCGGTACTCAGCGTGTAGTTGTTTCTGCCGTACGTGAGGTTGAAAATCCCATCCCTTTGGTACCAGTAGAGGCAGAAGTGGTAGTTCCCCAACTTGTCGGGTAAAGAGAAGTTTACAAGGCTTGGTGGGAATGGCGCACTTATCTTCAGCGTGTCAGCACTGTTCTCGATGGTGATGTTCTCTGGCCGCATCTGATAAGTGATATGGCTTTTCTTCGTTTGGTTTCTTTCGCCACAAAATCGAAAGTTTTCTGCGTGGCGGCTGCTTCCTTCGACCCCTGCGTTACACATAACCGCACTGTAAGGTGTAGCTCAGCCCGAGGGGCTCCATACGCCAGGAGTTCCCCAGGTTATTCACCTCGTTGACTCCACATGACACAGCTGTCTACTATTTATTACATGGATCACAGGAAGCCTCAGGGGCCCCGTTGTGCTAGGTGCTGCACATATACAAGAGAGAGAGAGCGAGCGAGCCCCTGCTCTGAAAATCTTGGGAGCCATGGAAGAACCCATTACCATAGTGTCTGAGTGCATCCCAGTCTTTCATGCCTTCAGCCACACACTCCCCAGTGAGGCAGGGCAGGCCTGTTATCCCCATGGTATGGATGGGCAAGTGAGGCCCAGAGAGACTAAGTGACTGCCCACGGTCACCCAGGGAGGTGTTTTCAGAACAAGCACGGGAACCCAGCTCTCCTGAGGCTCAGGCCAGGCCCATCCTTCCTCTAAATGGACTCTAACCTCACCCAGGTGGCTGATCGCTCCCAGGTGTGCTGTAGAACAAGAGGAACACAGATAACAATAATGCATTCTCCATGTACATCCAGACTTG